AGTCTACCACACGCTACTTTTAACTATTTATGATTATATAGTCACAAGGTGCATTACACTGGTCATTTATACCTTGCGGACCGCTGCATTGTAGGTCACATAAACCTGAAAGTAAAAGTACACTGATATAATATTTGCAAGTGCAGATAAGAGCGTATACCAGGGGTGGGCAAACTTTTTGACTTGAGGGCCGCAATGGGTTCATATATTGGACCCGGGGGCCGGACCAAGAGTAGATGAATGATGTGTATGTGTCATCCATAGTAAGTATAGTAATATTCCCCCATAGTAAGCATAGTAATTAATCCCCCATATAGTAATTCATCCCCCATAGTAATTCATCCCCCATAGTAATTCATCCCCCATAGTAATTCATCCCCCATATAGTAATTCATCCCCCATAGTAATTCATCCCCCATAGTAATTCATCCCCCATATAGTAATTCATCCCCCATATAGTAATTCATCTCCCATAGTAATTCATCCCCCATAGTAATTCATCCCCCCTATAGTAATTCATCCCCCATAGTAATTCATCCCCCATATAGTAATTCATCCCCCATAGTAATTCATCCCCCATATAGTAATTCATCCCCCATAGTAATTCATCCCCCCTATAGTAATTCATCCCCTCATATAGTAATTCATCCCCCATAGTAATTCATCCCCATAGTAATTAATCCCCCATATAGTAATTCATTCCCCATAGTAATTCATCCCCCATATAGTAATTCATCCCCCATAGTAATTCATCCCCCATATAGTAATTCATCCCCCATAGTAATTCATCCCCCCTATAGTAATTCATCCCCCATAGTAATTCATCCCCCATATAGTAATTCATCCCCCATAGTAATTCATCCCCCATAGTAATTCATCCCCCATATAGTAATTCATCCCCCATATAGTAATTCATTCCCCATATTAATTCATCCCCCATATTAAGTCCCCAAGTCCCCCCTGTGTCAATTCACTTACCTTTGCTCCGCGCGTTCCTCTCGCCGTGTTCCCGCGCCGTTCCGGTCTTCAGGGCGGACTGTGAGAGGAGCCTAGCTCCCCTCCCCTCACATTCGTCACGCTGCCCTGCCTACACACATCCTGACAGCCACATCCGCGGGCCGGATTAAAAGGTCCGCCGGGCCGTATACGGCCCGCGGGCCGTAGTTTGCCCATTGCTGGTGTATACTGTATGTCTGCAGTACTCCAAGATGCATATTGGATCCCATGTGAGATATCTTCAGAAAAGCTAATGGTTTTCAGGCAACCAAAATAAAATTGTAACTTTTTTTATTTTTTTTTTTACTATTCATACTAAATATCTATTTTGCAAAGAACTGGTGAACTGGTGTCACAGGGCACTATGGGATTCCTAAACTGGACACACTGCATAAGAGGTTTGCCTTTAGACCATCACTGTCCAATGGAAATTCTGAAAAAGAGGTGTATAGAGGTGTATGGGGGGGGGGGGGGGGGGGGGGTTAGTCATTTGATTTATTAAGCTGTGTAAATAATTTGAGAATGAACTACTGAGCTTAACAGATTTTTTTCAGAAAAGCATTAAAAGTGTAAGTTCAGGCAGAACCTAACTAAGGCTAAACCTACTGGAGCTAAACCGCTCCAGTCCACTCATATGATCAGCTGTCAGTGGCAGCTTCTGTGTAGAGGAGAGGGAGCTGACTACAGATGCCCCATAGCATGCCTATAGGTTGACATCATCTCCCAGGCATTTCCAGCCATTGTGTCTGTAGATCCCTCCGCTACAAAGAAACACCCGCTGAGAAATTATTAATATTATACAGGATTTATATAGTGCCAACAGTTTGCTCAGCGCTTTACAATTATAAATTAAGACAATACAGCAACAATACAGTTCAATACAAGAGGGTTAGGAGGGCCCTGCTCCTTGGAGCTTACAATCTAAGAGGGAGGGGCTGGTGGTACAAAAGGTAATAACTGTGGGGGATGGACTGGTAGGAGGAAAAAAAGATTCTGTTATTAGCTGAAGGCAGGATAGGCTTCCCTGAAGAAATAGGTTTTCAGAGATTGCCTAAAAGTGGGCAGAGTAGGCGATAGTCTGATAGATTGGGGTAGAGAGTTCCAGAGGATGGGGGAGGCTCTGGAGAAGTGCTGGAGACAAGCATGGGAGGAGGAGACAAGGGAGCTAGGGAGCAGGAGGTCGTGCGAGAAGCTGAGAGGACAGGACGGTTTGGGCGATATATGGAGACAAGATTGGTGATGTAATTTGGGGCAGAGTTATAAATGGTTTTATATGTTATTGTTAATGTTTTGAATTTTATTAGTTGGTCAGTGGGAAGCCAGTGGAGGGATTGGCAGTGAGGGATGGCAGATATGGCAGAATAGGTAAGTATACGGAACGTTTCTTTACAAGGTTAGATATAATAGGTTTAGAATGGGGGTGGGAGTAGCTTTAGCCTTTGTTAGGCTTTGCCTGAACATCCACTTTAAGATTAGCCTTGTAAGCGTGTGAAAAGGAGCACAGATTTCCAAATACTGGAAGAAAATGGGAAAGCATGGCAAAAAATATCTATACGCAATATTTTACATATATTTGAATATAAAAACAAACATTACAGTAAATGTATTTTCCCCTGCACTGACAGAAATAGGTGGGCTTCTAAGCAGAAATACATGTGAGAATGCCAGTTGTCTGGCTGTCATGCTGATCCAATTGCTTCAACACTTGCAGAGTCCCTGACTCAAAACAAGTTTGCAGAACAGTACTGAACCCATTCACTTGCTGCATTTATGTTTCAGGTTGGTGACTGACAAAGCAATTAAGCCAATAAATCAGCAGGACAACCAGGCAACTGGTACTCTGCAACAGCAGCTTATGTAATTCCGTTAACATGTATCTGTCACATTTGCAGAAAGATTACAGCGCTGTAACTCAGAACAAGACACTGCAGAAGTCACCTTCTAATTGGAGTCACAGTGCTTGGCCTTATTCTATGCAAAGATTTATTCACAATGGCTTCGTCCTAACTGAACACTAATCCAGACACTGACAGACTGGACTAAAGCCATTACTAGATCTAATTTATGAACTGCTAAATGATCAAGTATTTATCTGCTGGTGATGGATTCTCTTTTAAAATGAGTTATGTTATCAAAGCTCAAGTCTAATCTACTTACAGTTTGCCTTTCATGGCTCCTCCCTCCCCTTTCATCAACATTTTAAATGTTTTTTCTTAAAAAAGCCTTTTCTATAATGCATACCTTATTTTAGATCCAGTTATGTCATCACTTTCACTCTATGCTTTTCTATGCAATGTGGGCAGATAATGGCTGGTAGGAGGGGCTAGCAGATTACTGTACATAGCTTTTGGAAAACATCACAGCATCCTGCCTCTGTATTCCTCTCAATAGCCTTTAAAGAAGCCATAGATTATGCAGTTTTCTTTCCTGCATCCATGGGTTGCAAGAAATAAAATCATTGATTCCCCTATCAATGCAGTCAATCAAAAAATCCAATAGGCTGGTTGTACTGAAGATAATATATTCTGTACAATTTCAATTTCAGTACAAATCAACCTGTCTATAGATGGATCAAATCTCGTCTGGCTCTTGGGAGTGGTTTTGCAAATATCAAAAATAGCTGGATCTCTTAGGCAAGATGCCTTTGCCTGTAGACCACTCTAATGCAGGCCATAGATGGGGAGAAAAAAACGGCAGATTTTCGGAGGGTCCGATTAACGAACTATCGGTCGGTCTAAAAAACTTACCTGACCACCAATTATTACGAAAATCGGGGGGGGGTGGAGGGGGGGGGGGGGGGGGGGGCGGGGGGGGGCGATTAATGAGTAACCTATAACGGGAAATGATGTCATTTTGTGACCTTTGTGATCCTTTTTCGGAAAACGATCGTTCGTTTTTGACCATCAATGAGGATAAAGTCGGGCGTTTTTCGAAAAATTTTCCAACATCACCGATAATCTGAAAGTCCAAAATACACGAAAAAACGGCCGACAAAATCGTCCACTAACGATAAGATAATCGGCCGGTTTTATTTTTTCGGACGAAAAATCGGCCGTTTTTCTCCCCATCTATGGCCTGCATTAGTATCACACTATGCTTAAAAAAACTGAAATCCAGTGAATGGAAGGGTGGAACCAAGGGTAGGTTCACACTAGCCAATGCTTTGAAAAGAGATCCATGGTGGCTTGCTTTCAAGTAGCTGCTCTTAGATATTCAGGAGGTGATCCTGCTGCCTCCTGCATGCCTATGTTTTTGTTTTTTTCTAATAGGGATGATGCATTTGGCTCATGGTTGCAACACAACCCTATGGCGTTTGGCAGGTGCTGCTGAAAGTCACTTTAACTTTGCCGCAGCTGCAGCACAATACACCATGGTCGCAGCATGTGGACGATCTCCTGTGGCTGTAGTTGACGCTTTAGGTGAGTGGCCAGGGTGCATTAAAACCGTGGCTCACATGCCTGTTATTACTGCCCCCAGCTGCCCTTGTGAAAGAGGCCCAAGTCTAGTGGGCAAAGTGCTAGATGATGCTGGGAGTCTTCCACTTAGGAAATGAGGTGGGCTGAAGGTAAGGCCAGAGCATAAGGTTTAGCATTAATATGTACTACAATCTATTCATATTGCCAATATTATAGGTAAAAAATACACTATATTGCCAAAAATATTGGGACACCCCTCCAAATCATTGGATTCAGGTGTTCCAATCACCTCCATGGCCACAGGTGTATAAAATCAAGCACTTATGCAGGCCATAGATGGTTCATTTATTGGCCGATTTTTCGTCTGAAAGAATAATCAGCCGATATTCGCACTGTTAGTGGGGCAATGGCATCGGACGATTTTCGCGGTTCCTCCTCATTTTGTTTATCAGTCATGCTGGAAAATTTGTGAAAAATGGCTGATTTTTGCAATCATTGGTGGCAACATTGGTTTACAGAACAACCGATGTTTCATTTTTCGGATGAAAAATCGGCCGATAAACGAACAGTCTATGGCCTGCATTAGGCATGCAGACTGCTTCTACAAACATTTGGGAAAGAATGGGTCACTCTCAAGAGCTCAGTAAGTTTAAGCATAGTGCTGTGATAAGTTGCCACCTGTACAATATGTCCATCTGTGAAATTTCCTTGCTGCTAAATATTCCACGGGAACGGTTAGTGGTATTATAACAAAGTGGAAGCAACTGGGAACAACAGCAACTCAGCCACAAAGTGGTAGGCCACGTAAAATGACAGAGCGAGGTCAGTGCATGCAGAAGCTTACAGTGAGCAGAAGCTGCCAACTGTCTGCAGAGTCAATAGCTAAAGACCTCCAAACTTCGTGTGGCCTTCAGATTAGCACAACAACAGTGCATAGAGAGCTTCATGGAATGGATTTCCATGGCTGAGTAGCTGCATCCAAGCCTTACATCACCAAGTGCAATGCAAAGCGTTGCATGCAGTGGTGTAAAGCACACCGCCACTGGACTCTAGAGTGGTGGAATTGTGTTCTCTGGAGTGATGAATCATGCTTCTCTGGCTGGCAATCTGATGGATATGTCAGGGTTTGGCAGTTGCCAGGAGAACAGTACTTGCCTGAGTGCATTGTGCCAAGTGTAAAGTTTGGTGGAGGGGGCTTATGGTGTGGGGTTGTTTTTCAGGTGTTGGGCTTGGCCCCTTAGAACTCTTAAGGCGTCAGCACACTAAGACATTTTGGACAATTTCATGCTCTTAACTTTGTGGGGAACAGTTTGGGGATGGACCCTTGCTGTTCCAACATAACTGGGCACCAGTGCACAAAGCATGGTCCGTAAAGACATGGAGCAGCGAGTTTGGGGTGGAGGAACTTGAATGGCCTGCACAGAGTCCTGACCTCAACCCGATAGAACACCTTTGGGATGAATTAGAGTGGAGACTGTGAGCCAGGCCTTCTCACCCAACATCGGTGTCTGACCTCACAAATGCGCTTCTGGAAGAATGGTCAAACATTTCCATAGATATACTCCTAAACCTTGTGGACAGCCTTCCCAGAAGAGTTTAAGCTGTTATAGCTGCAAAGGGTGGGGCAACTCAGTACTGAACCCTACGGACTAAGACTCGGATACCAATAAAGTTCATGTGCGTGTAAAGGCAAGCGTCCCAGTGCTTTTTGCAATATAGTGTATGTTAATATATTATGAACCTCCTTTATCAAGGTGTCTATAAAAGAATCACAATATTTGTGCTGTTCCATGAAAAAGAGGGGGAGGGTTAAGCTGGGTATACACAATCAGTATTTCTTCATTCAACCAGTGGATACCCACTTCAACACAAATGATGTGTGATGCAGGGATCTCTTCCAATAAAATATTGTATTCTGACAGTGGGGGACTCCCCACCCCCCCAATCAGAATACACAGATCAGCGCTGCAGCCATTGACTGAAAGAGCTGATCAAAAGCTGGAGTTCCAGCATGACCAGTCAACATAAGCTTCTGTTGAACAGTTAGTGGTACACATGGATCAATAGTCAGCCAGTTCCTGCAGAACTGATCAATTTTTGGTCCATGTATACCCTGCTTTAGTTTACATGAAGCCACAATGTTTTTATTTCAAATGTTTTCATAAATTAGGCTCTAGGGATTTTATAGATTAATTTATTTTCAAAAGCTTGGATTCTTATCTATGGAATACCTGACTGCTTAATCACCATAATCAAGCTACTTAGTATACAAAGAAAAAAAAGCTCCTTAAATGTGTTCTCACATCCTTGGCATGATCCCACAGACTACTTTTCTACATGCCTAATTAGGTAATATTCCCACAATAATGTATCCTCACCAAAAGTTAATTATAAAACCTACAAAAATAAACAGATTGCCTATTGGTTATTTAAATGTAAAAAATGCCTTTTTTGCAATACTCCTCTTCTCTTTGGAGCCCTTGACAAACGTTCTGTTCCAACACTGTTCTCTTTGATGCTCCTGCTTAGCGTCACTCAACCCACTTTCTGTGAATTGAGTCCATGAGGACTCATCCTATTGAGGTATATTTTCAAGCCACCCTGAGTTTACAAGAGAATGCTGTAGAGAACAGCACTACATCATATTCTGACGATGTTCTCAGCAGTATTCAGGACCCGACATCAGCGGAGGAAGCAGAGGATCTATGAGGTCCTATAAACAGACCAAAGACCCATGCCACTACCATTGGTGGTAGTTTCCTTTGGAGCTACCTGTTCCTAATTCAGGAAAGCATTTGTACCAGTTTTGGTAAAACTACTGAATGTGCAGCAAATTCAGGTAGTTCTAACTACCCGCACCTTAAGAACCTAAGAACTATAGCAGCACAGGTTCTTAAAGTCAATCTGCAGATTAGGAAGCTGGCAGAAATTAAAACCAGATCTGAGCTGGCGTACAGAGATGGCAATGCTCATTTTTGGGAAATGACCTGAGTCACAGGGTAGGCAGAGCCTGATGAGGAACTAAAGACTAGTTCCCCTCATTTCTTTCTGAGTGACAGTAGATGGCAGTGGGCGGATTCAAAATTCACTATTGGACTGAATATTGGCTATGGATCAGCCCACTGCTGCATGCTGCCAATCAACAGCAAAGTGGACATGATGGTCTCCAACTACAAAATTCCTAGACCATGCACCTATCAGTGTGGAGGGTACAGTAGCCAGGAGGGAAGGCATTGAAGAAAGAGTGCCCAGCATGAACAACACTCCAACCTCAGTGCCACGCTCTGATCACTCACTGTGTTCCTTCAGAATTGTGTTTACTATACTTCAGTTTGTGAATGAATGGGAAGACTGTGCAGAGCTCATCCTGTTTATTTATTCTGTGCAGCTGAGGCTGCAGAGATGGTGATTAAGGACTATGTCCTCAATTTCCTTTCTCTGTTTCAAAAGTGAGACATCACTATTGAAACTCCTGATATTTCACCAAAGTCCCGAGCAGAGTTGTAAAAAAATTGTAAAAAAGAAAATGGCAAAAAAATTCAAAAAAATTATACAAATAAAAACTACTGACACCGTCCACTGCCCTACTGACACCATCCAAACAGTATTCACTGCCCTACTGAAACGTCCACACATTGTTCACTGTCCTATTGACACCAACCACTGCTCTTCTGACTGATATTGTCTACTTTAATGGTAGGCTGTTTTTATGTTTACTATTGTTTTATTATAAATTTCTATAATGTTTCCTCACCATTTAGTTAGGCCTTGCTAGTTAATTTCTAGAGAAAAAAAAAAAGCTGAACCCTGCTTTCTTTTTCATGCTGTACAGGTAGATCTCCACCTCTCAAAGATTGCATACCCCTGTCCTAGATAAGCCGCCATCCTTCATATCAATAGAGTATGTGGTAGTAATGTGGAAGTAGGCAGAAGGAACTAATGAGTGCTGCAGAGGACCAAGGAGATTGATACCTCCGGAGTGTCTATTTCCCAGTGGACCTCAGCTAAGGATTGCTCTTGAATAGAGTTCCGACGGCACGAACAGAGGGAAATGTAAATATTCAGTCTCTTCTTTTGCAGGGATGCCTGTTTCAGATTTTTTTTAATGACAGGGCCACTTTAAGCATTTAACCTGTTTAATTGTTTGCCTCTATTTTGTTATTATTTTTTTTATTTCATGCTAAATTTTCTCTTGAAAATGTCAATTTCAAATACGATATCAATTATGTACAGTAATTTATTCACATTGAATGTACATTTAACCAACACAAACCTTGTTTGCTCATGATTTCCTAATTTATCTCACAGAGTTATAGGTTTATCACCACCATTCTCATTCTCTTCCATGGATGCCTCATTGAAACTCAGTTATCGCCATCCTTAAGCTAGCAATATATTCAATAACAGCCCTTATGATAATCTTTGTTAAAGGCATTGTACATTAAAAAGAAAAGAAAAAAAGAAATAATACACATGATTCATTTAGCTGATCGGTGTAATACTGCCTTAGCTAAATGAAAAAAAAAAACATTTGCATTAAAAAAAATGATAATGTGGTCATAAAAATTCTGCACATGTTCTGCATTTCTGAATAGTGTGCTATAGTGAGCAGATAAATAAAAGCATATTCCCCATAATGTGCCATGACTTATTGGACTCCATTGGACTGCACCTTATTAATCCGGCTCTTTTATTTTTTGTAGAAAAATATAAAATAGAAAACATTTTTAGAAACAATGATATACCGTACATATAACCATATATATATATATATATATATATATATATATATATAATTCTATTATATATAAAAAAAAAAATCTATTATAGAAAAACAAATCTGTTATAGAAAAACAATTCTATTATAGAAAAACAAATCTATTATATATAAACACATCTCTATAAACAATTGTATAAAAACAAACATACATGTTCCCCTCCTCTCATCAGTGTAGTACATTTGTACTCTCTAATATTCTGCTCTGCTTTTTTTCACAGAGGGATGGATACAAGTCAGCTAATGTCACAGTGTTTAATGTCAACAGTTGGGTGCTGACAGCTACATTGTCTTTGATATAAGATCTGTCATAACAAGTCTAATGTCAGCATGGAGCTCCCAGAGCAGACCACCAAACCGTTGCTGGCAGATGTCCACTATTTATACTCCAGCTACACAGTAAATGCCAGAGAGAAATCCTGCTCTCCTGGACTGCTGGAACCACAGAGCCCCCTTCTCCATACATGATGGAGAGAATAGGGAGGGATCCCTGTATCAGAGGATCCCTGGGATGATCATGATGATAGATCTGCCTGTCAGTGTCCTGATCCAGCACAGATCAGTGAGCAGTGAAGGAAGCTTGTCTTCCCCTCCTGCTGTCATCTGTCATTCCCTGTCCTCCCAGCACAATGTCACCATACCATCCAGTATGATCACATCCCCCATCCAACCCCCCTGCCAGGGACCGATCCGATGTCATCAGCCCAATCTTACATGTTCTGGCTCTCCATGGGCAGAGGAGAAGCTCTGATCTCCGCTCTCTCCCTCCGTCGCCATCTTCGCTCTGGAGAAGACTGGGAGTAAATGCAGCCGGGTGAGAGGAGAGGAGTGAGAGGAAAGGAGGGAGAGGAGAGGAGAGGACAGCCCCCACAACTAGCATAGCATTACCCACTGCCTGGCTGCTCCTCCCCCTACCTGCCACAGATTTAACCCTCTCAGCCCCCATGCAGAGGGAATGCACTAGTCTTAGTAACCCTTCCCTGCCTGGGGGGCTCTGGCCTCCCCCCTCCTGCCCAGATCCAGCTGCTGCCATCACACTGCAACAGAGGACAAGTGACCACAACACCAGTAGCCTGCTTATTGATGGTCCCATTGCAGGTCTGGACATTGATTTCTCCATTCAGCCTCCTATGAGAGATGTGGATTGGCATACTCTGCCTGCTTGGATGAAATCTGGGCTCACGTGGAATTCAAAGAACATTTTCAATGCAAGCTGTCATTGCTGACATGCCTATTCTGCAAATACTAGTTTTCCTATCACACTGACAGTCATAAATCAATACTAAAGGGTGATTTACTAAAGACCAGTAGGCAAAGAGTAGGAAAAGAATAGGGGGATTTACTATAGGGCCCCCTTTTCTTATGGGACTGTGGCAAGGGAAAAGTATTAAGTCTCCCTGCTGTATATTTAAAGTGGAGAAATTTCCAGAAGGTCAGTGGGTTTTTAGTTTCCCCCCCCCCCCCCCCCTTTGGTATGAGGTTGAAGAAAAACCGTTAAAAAGTTTCAAGCCCCTCGATAGCTATTAGTATAATCGGGACCAGGGGCGTATTTACCACAAGGCAAATAAAGCACTTGCCTAGGGTGGCATTTTTCAGGGGGGCAGCACCTCCCCCCCCAGGAGAAGGGATGAAAGAAGGGACATGCGCACCATGGGAACCAGATGGGATCAGAGAGAGGCTGCGGGCTGCTTGATGGTTTATGTAGAGCCCTATTCTTGTTCCTGGGGTGTCCGGAGCTGTGAAGATGAGTGTCTCTCTATCACCCGGGGAAGGAAGGGGTAGTGGAAGCCTCTCCTGATGAGTGTTGGTCAATGTCAGGCTCTCTCCACGGGAGGGGGAAGGGGGGGTGTTGGTCGGTGTCCGTGGGGGCAGCACAAAACCAAAATACAACACTGATCAGGACCGTTTAATATTAATATAATGCTCCCCTCTCACCCGCCTCTTTTTTGGTGTCACAGCCAATTTTTATTGGTGAGATCATCTTTATTCAAAGGAGGACAAGTAAAGCCAGCCATACATGGGTCGAATTCCGAAAGAATTTTCTTTGGAAAATCTTTTCTAGAATTTTCGTTTGATTTTTGCACCATTAGTGGGCCTCAGAAACGGCCGATATTCATGTGATCATCAAATCTGAGTGATTGAGCATGTTGGAAATTTTTTGAAAAATGAACGAATTTCTAATCAATGATGGGAGAATTGTGTGAGAAATGTACCGTATTGTTGGCTCTATAAGACGCACTTTTTTCCCCCACAAAAACAGGGGAAAATGTCTGTGCGTCTTATGGAGTGAATATGGAGCAGCCGGCCAGTATTCCCACCACCCCCATGTTAGAATACCGGGCTGGCCGCTCGGCTCTACTGTGCAGAAGAACCCACTCCTCGGTCCTACCTGTTCCTCGGTCCAGCGATATTCTGCTTTCACCGTCCGTTTTCTCTCCCTGGCGCCGGCATCTTCAATGTGGGCACCCAGCTGTGACAGCTTGCGGCTTCACAGCCAGGTGACCACTGCACATGCATGAGAAGTGCTGAGCTTTGTGAATGGCCCCATAGTCATCTCGGACCTGTCATGTGTCCCACAAGACTACAGGGAGGAAGGGGATGAGGACAACTCCACGAAAGTGGGAGCGGGTATCTGTCAAATTTGGGTACTCGCCCCTCCCCCCGCTCCACAAAGGTCTGCAGTCTCTGGTCATCTCCTGTACTGTGTCTGCAGTCTCTGATCATCCCCTGTATTATGTCCGCAGTCTCTGGTCATCTCATGTACTGTCTGCAGTCTCTGGTCATCTCCTGTACTATGTCCGCAGTCTCTGGTCGTCTCCTGTAGTATGTCCGCAGTCTCTGGTCATCTCCTGTACTGTGTCCACAGTCTCTGGTCATCTCCTGTGTTATGTCCGCAGTCTGTGGTCATCTCCTGTACTGTGTCCGCAGTCTGTGGTCATCTCCTGTACTGTGTCCGCAGTCTCTGGTCATCTCCTGTACTGTGTCCGCAGTCTGTGGTCATCTCCTGTACTGTGTCCGCAGTCTCTGGTCATCTCCTGTACTGTGTCCGCAGTCTCTGGTCATCTCCTGTAGTATGTCCGCAGTCTCTGGTCATCTCCTGTAGTATGTCCGCAGTCTCTGGTCATCTCCTGTACTATGTCCGCAGTCTCTGGTCATCTCCTGTACTGTCTCCGCAGTCTCTGGTCATCTCCTGTACTGTCTCCGCAGTCTGTGGTCATCTCCTGTACTGTGTCCGCAGTCTGTGGTCATCTCCTGTACTGTGTCCGCAGTCTCTGGTCATCTCCTGTAGTATGTCCGCAGTCTCTGGTCATCTCCTGTACTGTGTCCGCAGTCTGTGGTCATCTCCTGTACTGTGTCCGCAGTCTCTGGTCATCTCCTGTACTGTGTCCGCAGTCTCTGGTCATCTCCTGTACTGTGTCCGCAGTCTCTGGTCATCTCCTGTACTGTGTCCGCAGTCTGTGGTCATCTCCTGTACTATGTCCACAGTCTCTGGTCATCTCCTGTACTGTGTCCGCAGTCTGTGGTCATCTCCTGTACTATGTCCGCAGTCTGTGGTCATCTCCTGTACTATGTCCGCAGTCTCTGGTCATCTCCTGTACTATGTCCGCAGTCTCTGGTCATCTCCTGTACTGTGTCCGCAGTCTCTGGTCATCTCCTGTACTGTGTCCGCAGTCTGTGGTCATCTCCTGTACTATGTCTACAGTTTCTGGTCATCTCCTGTACTATGTCCGCAGTCTCTGGTCATCTCCTGTACTGTGTCCGCAGTCTCTGGTCATCTCCTGTACTGTGTCCGCAGTCTGTGGTCATCTCCTGTACTATGTCCGCAGTCTGTGGTCATCTCCTGTACTATGTCCGCAGTTTCTGGTCATCTCCTGTACTGTGTCCACAGTCTGTGGTCATCTCCTGTACTATGTCCGCAGTCTCTGGTCATCTCCTGTACTATGTCCGCAGTCTGTGGTCATCTCCTGTACTGTGTCCGCAGTCTCTGGTCATCTCCTGTATGTCCGCAGTCTCTGGTCATCTCCTGTGTTATGTCCGCAGTCTCTGGTCATCTCCTGTACTGTGTCCGCAGTCTGTGGTCATCTCCTGTACTATGTCCGCAGTCTCTGGTCATCTCCTGTACTATGTCCGCAGTCTCTGGTCATCTCCTGTACTGTGTCCGCAGTCTCTGGTCATCTCCTGTACTGTGTCTACAGTCTCTGGTCATTTCCTGTACTATGTCCGCAGTCTCTGGTCATCTCTTGTACTGTGTCCGCAGTCTCTGGTCATCTCCTGTACTGTGTCCGCAGTCTCTGGTCATCTCCTGTACTGTGTCCGCAGTCTCTGGTCATCTCCTGTACTGTCCGCAGTCTCTGGTCATCTCCTGTACTGTGTCCGCAGTCTCTGGTCATCTCCTGTACTGTGTCCGCAGTCTCTGGTCATCTCCTGTACTGTGTCCGCAGTCTCTGGTCATCTCCTGTACTATGTCTGCAGTCTCTGGTCCGTACATGTCTGCAGTCTGTTATCTCCTGTACTATGTCCGCAGTCTCTGGTCATTCCCTGTACTATGTTTGCAGTCCGCATCTCCTTTACTATGTCCGCAGTCTGTGGTCATCTCCTGTACTATGTCTGCAGTCTCTGGTCATCTGTACTATGTCTGCAGTCTCTGGTCATCTCTTGTAGTATGTCTGCAGTTTCTGGTGAGTGTAGTATGTCTGTAGTCTCTGGTCATCTCTTGTAGTACTGTGTCCGCAGTCTCTGGTCATCTGTAGTATGTCTGCAGTCTGGTCATCTCCTGTACTATGTCTGCAGTCTCTGGTCATTTCCTGTACTATGTCTGCAGTCCATTGGTTCAGAATATTTTTTTTCTTGTTTTCCTCCTATAAAATCTAGGTGCGTCTTATGATCAGGCGTGTCTTATGGAGTGAAAAAAACAGTAATTAAAAAGAAATGAGCATGAGCTGTGACCTGGAAAGAAAAGAAAATTCTTGGCCACGAAAATTATTTTCTGTATTTCTAAATTGAAGGCTTGGCTGGTCGAATTTCAAAATCAATGGTGGCAACATCAGATTACAAAATGCACAAAATTTCTGATTTTCTAAAGAAAATTTGTTCGGAATTCAACCCATGTATGGCCTGCATTAGTGAGTATATTAAATTGAAGTGAGATGGATCAATAGATAAGTATAGTTAATAAGTTGTTGTACAGCTTGAGTCGTAGTGACTAAGCTGGGGTTGTGTATTGTTACTGTAAGAAAACATTTTTAAAATATTAATATTGATTTAATATGTACAAATAAACAGTTATTATTTAAAAAAAAAATATACTTATATTTCTACCAATAATAAAATGGCCAAGTTATTACCAAAAAATAAAAGTTGTTTTTTATTTGGTTAAAGAGTAAAGCATACTGCCTACCATCCCATACCCAAACACAGGCATTGAAAAGAAACATTATTTGGCTTGAAGATGATTGGATGATGAGTCAACAGAGATTCACCTCATTCACTAAGTTCTGAGAAATTCTCTTGTTAATTAAAATGACCCTCCCTTTTGTAAATTGACCCTCTGACTCACTAACAGGGAATACATATGTAGTTAAGAACTCCTCCTAACAACAGCATTTTTTTTCTGCTCCTTTTCTGCTCCTCTTCCCCACAACCCTGGTTGGTGGTTGTGGGGGTCTGCGGGCAGGTGGCTTATCAGAATCTGGAAGCCCCCTGTAAAAGGGGGCCCCTAGTTCCTGCTACCCCCTCCCATTTGAATGAGTATGGGGTACATTGTACCCCTAATCATTCACCAAAAGGTGTGTAAAAAAAAGGTATCTGGCAGCTCTGCCATCTGACAGTTCTTAAAAAACTAAGGTGGGGGGGGTGCACTTGTCAACATCACGGTGTGACCCTGCCCACTTGTGATGGAGTGGGGGGGGGGGGGTCGCTCCAAGAGGTCATAGGGTGGCCCTGCTCTTTGGTTAGGAGCTGCCAGACGGCAGGAGCCAGCATTGGGTAAAGACATTTTTTGGCGTTCGTTGCTGGCTTTACTTCGGGGAACATTGCTTTTTGCTTGGGTGGGAGAGCACCCTACCCCAAAGCACCCCCTCATGTTGAGGGCATGTGACCTGGTATGGTCCAGGAGGGGGGGTGCCCCCCTTTCTTTGCTGACATGCAATCTGGTGCAGCTGTGAATGGTAGCCAATCAGCTTCTAAGTTCAGCTTGTGCTACAGAACATCTTCCCCTCTCCTATTCTCTAATAAATGGGGGGGGGGGGGGGCAGGGTTGATAACAATTAGCACAGGGAGAGTGTACATTGCTACTTGACTTCTGACAGGTTCAACATTTTTTTTATCACTTACTGTACAGATATAACAAAACACTTTTAATTATATGTTTAAAGTAGATGTGATCCGTCACATTGTAAAATATCCTATTCAGTTTAAAATAGAAATGGACAGCAAAACATTTGTGTAAAAAACATTATAAATACATTTTTCCCTTTTTATATGTGATCACATTCCCTCTGATCTCAGTTGCATACAAGCTGGAGGAGGAGAAACAGCAGGACACCGATCCTCCCAGTGAATTGCTGTGCATGGGGGTGTGTCAGGACAAGTCTGATCATTGAAGGAGAGCAGGCTAAGTTCCCAGCAGAGTTATAGAACTGACCACACTGTTCTCTCATGCCTAGTGTGGTCAGATTTTAATAGGAAAGCAGAGGGACTGGCACGAACTCCAGAGATTTCACGAGAGAAGCAACACAAAGAGAACAGGATAGTTTTTCATACAAGTATGTGGCACAGAAGGCAAATATTAGAAATATGAAATGCTGGGTTTACATATTCTTTAAAGTGTTACTAAACCCAGTACCCTGCATTCACTACATCTGTTCTCCCACAGTACACAGAACATGGAAATGCAATTATTTTAGGAAATATAAACTGCTAAATGATTTTTCTCATCAGCGGTATATAGCAGTCTTGTGACTTCGATAAGTGTCCGGCTGAGCACTGTTTAATCTTGTAGGACATATTTTCATTCCCTGTTACTGTCCTAGGAGGCTGCATGCCCCCTGACCCTCTGTCTGGATAGTGCTGATTAGCCCTGTGCCAAACACATGTACCTTCCCAAAAAGACAAAAATAACTCTTTAGAAATACACACCAGAACATGTGCAGAGCTGCCACTGCTGCTCTAACTGCTGATGTAACTAGGCACGTGGATTGGGGACAGTAAAAGAAGGGGAGTGTCAGAGAAGACAGGATCAAACAGCCTTTTTACACTATGCAGACGATTAAATCTTAGGTTCCACAATGAGTATAAGAAGCATGCTTTACTGCATATACAGACTGATTTTACTGTGGGTTAGTAAACCAAAACAAGCAGATAAGAGAAATTTGTTGTTAGGGTTTACAATACACTCTAAAACCTAAACGGTATATTATGACCCCCCCTGTATTTGTGAATATTTTGTAGCTAATAACGAACGACAGATTGAAAAAGGTAACAGGACAAACCCTCAAAAATTCTTCGAATATATTAATAGTAAAAAAGTTTGGTTCGAGTATGTAGGCCCTTTACAAAATAATCTAGAGTGGGTGACAGGGGACAAAGAGAAGGCAAATTTATTAAATACCTTCTTCAGCTCTGTGTATAAAAAGGAGCATGGGGGAGCTCTTGTCCATAATGGGCATGGTATTGACACAGCCCAAGATGATCCACATGGGCTCACAACTGATATGATCCAGAAATATTTAGACACAATAAAGGTGAATAAAGCACCTGGACCGGATGGCATACACCCACGGGTCCATAAAGAATTGAGCTCTGTCATTTCAAAGCCATTGTTTCTCATTTTTAGGGACTCTTTAATGACTGGCATAGTACCACTGGATTGGCGTAAGGCCAATGTGGTGCCAATATTTAAAAAGGGGTCAAAATCTTTACCAAGTAATTATAGATCTGTTAGTTTAACTTCTATCGTTGGAAAGATGCTGGAGAGTTTAATAAAAGACCACATAGATGAGTTCTTGCTGGGAAAAATATTTTAAGCAACAGACAGCATGGATTCATGAAAGACAGACGTCAAAAAAATCTGATATCTTTTTATGAGGAGGTGAGCAAAACCTTGGACAGATGGGTGGTTGTGGATGTGGTATACTTGGATTTTTACAAAAGCATTAGACACAGTTCCCCACACATGGCTAATGTGTAAGGTAAAGTCTACAGGCTTGGAAAAAACTGTATGTAAAAGGATAGAAAACTGACTAAAAGATCATATTCAGAGTGTAGTGGTTAATGATTCATACTCTGAATGGTCTAGTGTGGTCATTGGTGTACCCCAGGGTTCAGTGTTGGGATCCTTCCTTTTTAATATATTTATAAATGATATAGGGTCTGAGATTAAAAATCCCATTTCAGTCTTTGCAGATGACACCAATCTTTGCAGTGGAATAACGTCCTTACAGGATGTCTCCAATTTACAAGTCTACCTCAATGTACTGTTTAATTGGGCAACTATGTGGCATTTGAGGTTTAATGTTGACAAATGTAAGATTATGCACTTGGGGGCTAACAATATGCATGCATCATACATACTAGGGGGGGTACAACTGGGGGAATCAATGGTGGAGAAGGATCTGTGGGTGCAGGTAGATCACAAGCTTAATAATGGCATGCAATGCCAAGCTGCGGTTTCTAAAGCAAGAAAAATCCTCTCTTGTATTAAAAAGGTATAGACTCCAGAGAGAGAGATATCATATTACCCCTGTACAAATCATTAGTAAGACCACATCTGGAATATGCAGTTCAGTTTTGGGCACCAATTCACAAAAAGAACATTGGGGAACTGGAGAAAGTACAGAGAAGGGCAACCAAACTGATATTAAGCATGGAGGAGCTCAGCTATGAGGAAAGAATAGAGGAACTGAATTTATTCTCTCTTGAGAAGAGGAGATTAAGGGGGGATATGATCAACATGTATGAATACATCAGTGGTTCATATAGTGAACTCGGTGTAGAGCTATTCACCCTGAGGTCATCACAGAGGACAAGGGGACAGTTTTTACATCTGGAGGAAAAGAGATTTTATCTCCAAATACGAAAAGGTTTCTTCACAGTGAGAGCTGTGAAAATGTGGAATAGACTCTCTCAAGAGTTGGTTCTGGCCAGCTCAGTGGATTGCTTTAAAAAAGGCCTGGATTCTTTCTTGGATACACAGAATATAACTCGATACTAACATTTATAGGTAAAGTTGATCCAGGGAATATCCGATTGCCTCTCGGGGGACCAGGAAGCATTTTGTTCCCCTGCAAAAGCAAATTGGATCATTCTTTGCTGGGTTTTTTGCCTTCCGCTGGATCAGTTGTGGGTATGGGATTACAGCTTGGGCTCAGTGCTGGGAGTGCACAATGAACACACACTCAGTACAGAAATATAACCTACCAAGTGACAAATATGTGCAGCTTGTGGGCATTAAGCGCACCCTTTTGCTGCCGGACATATGTGTTACGGGGGCAGCAACATTAATTCAGCATAGTCTTTGTGTATACGCATTGCTAACATCAATGACACATTCATATAATAAAGGTTTGTGCCTATGTTTTGCCAGTAGCCATCACATACTGTATAATTATTCATGTTTTGACCTGGATCTTAGAAATGACAGACACTGACTACTAAAGTGAACAAGAAATGTTCCTACTGCATCCTTTATACAATAATATACATTAGTAACTAGGCCATGTTTTTTTTTTCCTTTAAAGCAAAGGCATGATTCTAGGCTGCAGAAAACACAACAAATGGGCCACTGATTAATTATCTTTTATTTCCTTGACAATATACTTTAGGCAATGTTATGTTAGATTTGGCACTGATAGAAGAAGCTGGTGTACACAGTAACAAACATATCTGTTAGTTATTACCTCACTTGTACAGACTAAAAGTTTCATTCTTTTTTTTTTTTTGGTCGTTATTTTTAGTTTTACACAATATTACATGTAGCCAGAGACTGGGAGATAACTGGCGTCACTGCAGTAGGATTGTCATGGAAACCAATGTCCTATGGCTTGGGTGATGTTTAGGAAGCCAGTAACTGCTCATCCCATCAGGAGGATGTCATCTCTCTCAACAGGCCACAGACAAGGACCAGTGTGCTACTAATTGATACCACTGTATGTAGCCAGGGCACAGATAATTACCATAGTGTGCATTCAATATGGTGCAAGTTATCATTCTCTTTTTAGAATCCAGTGTTTCAAGCTTGGAGGTAAAAAAATGACATTACACTTGGACTGTCATGGAGAACAAAGTTCTAGAATCCACAGATTCTGCAAAGTCCGGGGGGTGCCCCAGCTGCCAGCTTGATGGTAAAAGCAGGGGTGGACTGACCATTTGGAAACTAGGGCACTGCCCGAGGGCCCGGGGTCAGAAGGGGGCCCCATGAGATGCCCCTGGTACCTTTTTCATAGGCTTTTTTGAGTTTCGGCAAGGACACAGGGGCCCCATGATCCCCTATTGCCCGGGAGCCCCATGAGTTGTCAGTCCGCCCCTGGGTAAAAAACAATATAATAGCTTCCGAGGTACTTAAGAATTATATATAAGGCCACTAAGGACAGCACAGTGCCTAAATCTCCTAGGTTGTAAGCTCCAAGGATCAGGCCCTCCTATCCCTCTTGTATTGAACAGTATTGTTGCTGTATTGTCTCCCGTTATATTGTATAGCGCTGAGCAAACTGTTTGCGCTATATAAATCCTGTAAAATAATAAAAATAATAAATGGTTAGCACCTCCATCTGGCAGTACTAGGGTCATTCGTTCAAATCCCAACCACAGCACCACCTGCCTGCAGTTTGCATGTTCTCCCTGTGCCTGCGGGGGTTTCCACCAGGTACTCCGGTTTCCTCCCACACTCCAAAGACATGCTGGTAGGTTACTTGGCTCCTGTCTAAATTGGCCCTCGTATGTGTATGTATGAATATGAGTTAAGGACTTTAGATTGTACACCTCTTGAGGGTTAGAGACTGATGTGAAAGTACAATAAAGTGCATAAATTGACGACGCTATATAAGTACCTAAAATAAATAAAAGGAAGCAGCTGATTGGCAGTTAGTTCAAGGGTAGGGATCCACTTTAATCCTTTTACAAAGATGTTTCTATTCTCCAGAACACTGCTAGAGTGCTGTTATGGCCACATTGACATGTATGATTTTGCTAGTAGATATTGTTAAACTGCACACAAAAATCATGGTGCTATTAGAAATCACTGTCCACATCCATGCATTTTCACAATGCAGTTCACTGCCATTCATTTAAATGGATAGCACCACATGTCATCTCACTTTCATTTAACTGCACCACAAATGCACACATTACAACAGGGCCTATACCAATACCTTTGTAATTCTGCTATGACTGGATCTAATTACCATAGACTGTACACAGTACAGACAATGTGCAGACACTTCTATCTGCTTTCAGAGGTACCACTGAAAACGAATAGCATAAAAATACCATAATGTGGTGTTACTTAGGCTTAGTTTACACTTGCGGTTAGGGTTTGGTAAAAACATGTGATTGAGACACATTTTTACTGCCCCCCCACAACCACTCCCTCTAAGCTGCAAAAGCTTACAATGCTTTGCATCACAGAACAGCAAAAGAGCACCGCAATTGCCCCGCATCACAGCCGCCCCACAGTCTGCATGTAAAAATCATTCCCGCTGTCTCATTTGGCAGGCAGCACTCCATAAACAGGGCCATGCTGATACCATGTGGAAAAGATTATACCCACTGTCACCCACCAGGGGCAGACTGAAAACTCATGGGGCCCCCGGGCAATAGGGGATCATGGGGCCCCCAAATCCTCACCTACACTTAAACCACACCCAAAAAAAGCCTATTAAAGGTACCAGGGGCATCTCATGGGGCCCCCTACTGACCCCGGGCCCTCAGGCAGTGCCAGAGTATTTGAATGGTCAGTCTGCCCCTGGAGGCGACACATTCAAGTGAAAGGGGCACCACTGCAAGCACATGCAATCCACTTGGGAATGCCTTGTGGTGTGGGCTTTAAAGTGTTACTAAACCCACAACAGTAAAATCAGTCTGTATATGCAGTAAAGCATGCTTGTTATACTCACTGTGGAACCTAAGGAGTTAATCATATGCATTGTGTAAACATGCTGTTTGATCCTATCTTCTCTGATCCTCCCCTTCTTCCAGTGCCCCCCTCTTATCTCCTGAAAAGACATATTGTGTGGAGTCTCTCTGCACATGCTCAGTTTGGTGTGTATTGCTAGAGAGGTGTTTTTTTTTCTTGGGAGAGTGCATGTGATCAGCACAGAGCCAATCAGCGCTGTCCAGACAGAGGTCAGGGGTTCTGCATCCTCCTAAAGCAGAAAGAAAACTCCTCCTACAAGCTGTAACCAGTGCTCTGTTGGACACTGATAGAAGTCACAAGACTGCTCTAACTGCTGATGGGAAAAGGTATTTACCAGTTTATATTTACTAAAATAATTGCATTTTCATGTGGTGTGTACTGTGGGAGACCAGATATATTGAATGCAGGGTCCTGCGTGTAGTAGCACTTTAAGGTTAAAACAGGCAATGAGGAGGTGACATATTACCTCCTCATCACCTGTCAAATGCCCTCTGAAAAGCAACCCATGGCAGATCGCTCTTCAGATGGTTATGGGAGTGTGAACGAGCCCTTACAGTTGTCTTCTATAATAGCAATGATAATGATTATCTTTCAGATTTAGTAACTTGTTGGTTAGGTACTTATATTTGATTTTTGGATAATGCATTGACAGGTAGCTCCACAATCAGCACGTCATTTGTTGTTACCTGAACAATCAAAGCATATTCAGTAAACGTGGGCAATCCCACCTGCACAACTGATAAGCAGATAACTAGCCCTGCTGAAATCATATATAAATCTTGACTTTCCCTGTTGAGCATGAAGCTATTACCTCCCCTTTTTGCCACCCAAGACCCACTATTGGTCTTTGGATGTTAACAGTGATCTCATTAACCAATAGAAATGCTTAGCAGGCAGGAGGAATGGAGCAAATACAGCGAAACAGGCTGTCGCTGAAAGTAACCTTTTTATATTTTTATAGTAAATTCAGTTTAAATTTCAAAGGTCTACGACAGGTTTACTGTAAAGTTGTACCAGTCCTTCAACAGGGACGTTGAAACCATTCTTTATCAATGCCTTACAGACTCTTATAAAATCTCACAATCTAAGAAGAGAAGTGTGCTAATGACTATGAAACTAAAAATGAAATATTGCCAAATATAGATTTGCTTTAAAAGGGATGAGTAATATATAAAGTACCCAGAAGAGCTTGTTGTATTAAAAAGATTCGTGTTGATAGTGCCAAGGATACAAAGAGTAAAGCACGTACTTTATGTACCATTCCTTCTCCCTGTTTGTCACAATAGCAGTAGGAAAAATGACATATAACTGAGCCCCTGGGGTTTGTAGAAATGTGGAGAGAGTTGATGTACAGTATGTGCTGTTCACATAGATAGAACAAATGTACTTTCCTTTGTGTCTGTGGATATGCCTGTCCTAATAAACAACATATTTTGGTTGAATAACTAGTAAAGGTTGTCAAATTACTAAAGAAAAAAAAATAATGATAGCAAATAAGGTAATCATGTTCACTTCAATTAGTCAATCATGTCTTGGCAAAAATTTTTTTTTTTTAATTTTGCCTTGCACATAATTCTTTTTTAACTTCCTTTGCACGTGATTCAGCAACTTTGAACAAAAGTGCAGGCACACCATACATAGGGGTTGATTTACTAAAGCTGAAGAGTGCAAAATCTGGTGCAGACCTGCATAGAAACCAATCAGCTTCCAGGTTTTATTGCCACAGCTTAATTGAACAAGCTGAAGTTAGAAGCTGATTGGCTACCATGCACAGCTGCACCAAATTCTGAGTGCTCCAGTTTTAGTAAATCTACCCCAGTATGTCCTAATAGCTGCTTGCCAAATGTAATCATAGCTCAGTTGTTTATATGTGACAGGTTTATGGCTCTGCCTGGAGGATACACTCACACTTGAGTCTGTGAGAGAGGAAGGACAGACATCAGCTATGCCATTCCCTGCTCTCTGCTGCCCATTCACTGAAGCCTTTGCATTTTGACAGTGAGTTCACATAATACAAAGGCTTCTGTGATTGGGCAGGAGAAGGGGAGGATGACCATTGCAGCTGCACCAACTGAAGGGGCTGAGACCAGCTGAGTCTAGCATTGTTGAAGCTTGCGATGCTCTGCTGCTGGAGCCCAATAAACCTGTCAGATATAAGTAATAGAGATAAAGCATAGGAGCTGGCAGGCACCTTGTCTAACTTAACTCACAGAGTGCCTTCAATTTTTTACAAAGTTGCTGAATTTGTGGAATTCAGCTTGAAAGTGAACACATGGTCACCTTATTTACTATTATTAATTTCAAAAATAGACATGGATATTAGAACATTGATACACTACACCAATCAACCTACAGGGTTAATTAACATAGAACCAGAGGTCTTTAATCGTCCAGTTAAGAATGTTGGAAAGTCCATGTTTTGGGCATATCGCCCAAGATGCATACAGCCCTGTACACAAATACCACTCATTTGTGTGCACAGCCACCATATTTCAGTTTGTCATTGAATTTGACTATGTACCACCTGTGACTCCCTATCACTGAAATACTCCTGTTTTTGTGCTGTATGGGCAAATGTGTCTATGTGCATGAGCCCTAGATACTAAAAGTGTTTTACTGTACTAAACCTTTCATACAACCTATACAATTATTGAATTGTGTTATTTACAAATCTTGTATAAAGCAGAAGGATTCATGATAAAAAAGATTTGTAGGTTTATCCAGTCTTTGCCTGTGTGGGGGCAAAGGTGCATACTTCTCATATATATATATATTTTGTGCCAAAAATTTAGGTGAAAAAGCCTACAACTTGAGTCACATCACTTAACTGTAATGAAGTGTAATCTCACATTGTGCTGGCAGCTGGATCCTGAAGAAGTCTTCACTGCAGGAATGCCTGTCCTCTTCCTGTCTCTGAACCTCCTGCACTGCAGTGGTTACCAGCTTTGAGTTTTCAAATAGAACAGCAGTACAGATGATTCAATGTGGACATGCCCGCTCCTTTCTCCTCCTCCTTTAAGAAAAGTTGTTTCATTGATTACGATGTTTATAATACAAAATTTGCGAATAAGGGAGAGACTTCTGTTACTGATCAGACTCTCCACTATCCTTAGATAGTGTTATAGGCAGTGTAATCAGTAAAATAGCTTTTCTCAAAGGCAGAGGAAGAAGAAGTAGGCATATGTCCGTCTGACCGTCTGTACTGTTGTTCTGCCTGAAAATCCAAAACTGTTAACCACTACAGTGCCGGAAGTTCAGAGACAGGAAGAGGACAGGCATCCCTGCAGTGCAGATTTCTCCAGGATCCAGTTGCCTGCACAATGTGAGATTACACTTCATTACAGGTAAATGATGTGACCAGAGCTGGAGGGATTTTTTTTTAAAACTAAACTTTAGTTCTTTTAGAGAGATACTTCTCCGCTGGAAATCTGTTACCCTGCCAACGGTTACTGCATGTCACCAAATTCTTCATTCTGTATTGCCATTGTATAAGCTTACGTGTACTAATAGAACTTGCCAGAAAAGGTTCGACAAAATGTGGTCTTCTTGGATAGATTCATGTGGCTGCACTGTGAATACTGCATCTCCCCCCAGGCTAGAAAATAACCTCCTTTATAGTGTTTCTCCCCCTCTCCGCCCTGTAGAAACACAATGTTTTTGACATGCCAGCATACCCCGGTTGATGACATCACAAGGGGGCGGGTCATCTGGTGATATCATTGGGGGGCCATGCCCCTTATTTGTCAGATGGCTGGAGCCAGCATCTGGTGCATACCTTTTTTTTCCTGGGTTGGTGGTGGCAGTTTTCATGGCGATTAACACTGGATTTACTTTGAGGGACATTGTTTTTGTCTTTTGTTAAACACTTGTTTTTGTGAATTAGTAAGGGTACAATGCATCCTATACTCATTCATATGGGGGGGGGGGCAGGATCCGGGGGCCCTCATGTTGAGGGCATGTGGCACTTTATGATTCAGGAGGTGGGGGGGGTGCTCAATTGTCCCCCCTTTCCTTGCCTGCCAGGGTTCATGCTCGGATAAGGGTCTTGTATGGATTTTTGGTGGACCCCACCCCACCCCCCATTTTTGTAAAAAAATTTGGGGTGGGGTTCTCCTTAAAATCCATACCAAACCCGAAGTGCATAGTATGGATTGGGGGGGGGGGGGGGGGGGGTCCATGCGGTTTTATTAATCAAATTGTAATTGCTGGCAAGTCTTTTATTTACATTCAGCTGTCAGCAGAGAACCTCACTGACAGCTGGTGAGTCATCTGTTGTTAAGGATGCAGCGGCTAGTTTGCCAGCCTGCTCCTTAACAACCAGCTGGAAACCAGCCCTTAGCAGTGCTTGGGAGCGTTCAGCGGTTTTTTTTTCTTTATTTTTTTGCTGGGAAATCATTCCCAAAAAAGCATTTTTTTTCTGCTCCTAGAAGCTGAAGCTAGGGGGAGAGAAAAAATGCTCACAAGTAGCTGCTAAGAGCTTATTCTTAAGCTAGTGTGCATGGAACCTAAGGGGCTTTCTGGCATCTGTCTTCTTGTATCCTGTGTACCTATTTCTATCTGATAAACACTACACATACATCAGTGCCATCACACCAAAATAATAAATGAAAATCATAAAAGTCCTCCTCTTCAAAAATTATACAAAATTGTCCCTTTTTACCTATTACTCATTAGTATGCAATGTACATTTCCCAGTTTATAAATCAGATGGACTCTCACCTTGAGCCTAGGTTCAAAGTGTGAACCACATGTGAATTTGCACTGCATTCCTGTGCAATTCTGTGCAGTACGATTTAAACCCATTCATTTTGAATGGCTCAAATCACACCGCA